GGAGCTGCATGTGGCTCTTTAATCCTTCTGCTGTGGCTCCCTGTCGCTGGTCAGCTCCACAATTGATAGGGCTTTTGGTTAGGACAGATAGAGGAAAAAGAACGCCATGCTAGGAGGAGACTCTATGGTGGAGGAACCAGATTTCTGGATGGCAGAGGAAAAAGAATGCCATGCTAGGAGGAGACTCCATGATGGGGGAACTGGACTTCTGGTCGGCTCCAGAATTGAATGTGGATTTCCGGTTAGGACTTTTGTGGCTCTTTGAGTGTTTAAGGTAGCTGACCCCTGACCTAAAATAGACTCCAAAATAGACTGAGGATGCCTTAGAAAGAAGAGGTATATCCTATAAAATGGCTCATCTGTTTCTCTGGAACCACAAATGTAGCACCCAGGGAAGCAGCAACCACTTTTGGACCACTAAATTCTCCTGAACTGATATAGCAAGCAAAGTTCCATAAATTCTGAACCTTGGTAAACATCTCTATTTATTTATTTATTTATTTATTAGACACATTTATACGCCACCCAATCCTGAAGGACTCCGGGCGGCTTACAAAAATAAAGAGGAAAAAACACATAACGAAACATAACTTCAACTTCAAAACAAACTGGAATTTGGGGTTCATCCTAGATTCCAGGATGATGTCAAGCCCAATAAACTTAGGGAAGCAAGAACTACAGAATAGAGATTTCAGTAAGACATCTGGTGTGCTCAACGCTGCCTGAGTTGAGTTATAATCTATGAGATATGGACCTTCAACCCCTGGATTGCTTATGTCTGCTTTTTCTTCCATTTCTTGCCTGCTTCCTCATAACCTCTCATAAATGGTACATAGCCAATCATCTATCTGATGCTCATATAGTAGTCCTCGACTTATAACCAAAGTAGAGCATGCCCATTATGGTCGTAAATCATGATGGTTGTAAAGCAAGTCACCCAAGTAGTCAACTCGACTTTATGACTTTATTTTTGTAGTAGTTGTTAAGTGAACGTGGAGATTGTAAAGCAAACCAATTGTTTGTTATGGGCTGGTTTTGGCTGAAAATCAGAAATAAAAGATGCCCAAAACACTCTAAAATGTGGTCATGTGACCATCGGATGCTATAAATGGGTACTAGTTGTCAAAAGTGTCAGACCTGCAAGCCATCTTCTCTTTTTAGGTTTCAGGCCTGCCACACTTTCTACTGTTTACTTTCTATTGTGTGAAAATGGGAGGGAGGATTATATGGAGTTGGGTGATACATAGCCATAATAATCTTCTTCTTAGAAAGCCAAGGCCATCTTTGTCTCTGCACCTGACTGGAACTGGATGGGGTGGAACTGCCAGTGTTCAATGGAAGATTGGATCATGTGATAGGGTTGTGGGTGTGGGAGCAAGATCTTGAACTTTCAACTGGGTGGGGAAAACTGGGAAGCTTTCAGATTCGGGTTGTTTTCCCAGATGTGCCAACATGGCTCTCTTAATAAATTGGAACTTTGAGGAAATCTCTTGTCTTGGATTCTTATTTTATTTTGGATGCTATTTGGAACCCTGACAAAGAGCCTAAAATGTGATCATGTGACTGCAGGGAGCAAGGCCATCAGAACTTTGGAAAGGTTAGTCATAACTTCAAATAATTGCTATACAATGAGTTGTAAATTGAGGACTACCTGTATGGTTTGATCTGGAGTTACGCGCGTTGTCCAAGACTTACCTGGAGGACCTGCTTTGCCTTTTGGCCCAGGGAAACCTGGATCACCCTGTGGTCCATCTTTCCCAGGCATGCCCATGAAACCTGGGTCCCCTCTGAATCCTGAGGAGAAAGAAAAGAGAAAGATCCAGAGGTTGGCTTCTAAATTAGGCGGGACTGAAAATTCATCAGACTCAGCAGCTTCTCCTCTTTTAGAACATTTTGGTGAACACCAAAGTTGCCTCGAGATCCACCTTGCCCAGACTGTATGACAAAAAAGGGAGATTTGTGCTTCTCCTCAAAACCTCAGCATGG